CAAAGAAACACACACACTCTCTCACACACGCCCCATACACAAACAAACACACTAGTCTCTAAGAGGAAAGCACCTTCTGCTTCATCTCTCTTTCAATTTCTATAAAATAATTTTGTTTTCGGCTCATGAATCTGAAAACGCGTAAATCCAGGGATAAATGGTGACACAGTAAATACAAATGGTGTGTTTGTGTGTGTGTATCTGCATGTGTACTCAAAGTTTATTACTCCGGGAGTGTGACACAGTACAATAGATGCTGGAGAGAAAGTAAAGGAATAAAGGAATGGTTGGGGGGTTATTTTCACAACAAGATATTTGCTGAAGGGTAAAAAGCGAGATGGTTTCATGAAGTATGTGTGATACAGATGAACATAAAACTGGGACAACAGAGGCAAAGAAAACTGGAAGAGGGATAGATTCAAGAATGGAAAAGTAGACTAAAGGCATCAAAGACGATGAAGGAAGTAGCCAGAGTGCTTTAAGTGGAACTGTATTATCAGTGAAAGAATTAAATTCCATCATGCCTTAATGGAAATCCCCCACCACCATTTCAGGCAAACAATTTAAACTAAAATCAACTTGTGCTTAGATGGGCTGGATTATAGATGTTTTGGTCTAACCTTGTTAATAGCAGTATGAACACTTTTTATGCACTATTGTGAGCTCTTGTGAGGTGATAGTTCTCAGAGAATGTGTTGAAGATGCCTTAACTACTACCATACCAAATATTTAGCTCATTATATTAAAGATAACCAGAGTTGTAACCATTTTTTTCTCCTTGGCATGTGATAATTGAATGCATCCATGTTATATTCATTTTTGCGATCCAAGATAAATTAGATGGACAGGATTGAGGCCAACTGATAATGCTAAATTTTAGGTAAAACTGTTACAAGTTGCGTGATGCTAAAGGCACTTGTTGGGGATAATGCACAGCTACTAATTAACCCAACTTTTCCTCAACATCTGTACAACTGTATGAGTTGTAGCTAGGCCTGTTGCAATAAACAATAAATCAATCGCATGATAAATGAAAATTATCTACCTCATTTTCATTTATCCACTTTATTGTTTCTTTGTGTCTCTCTTTCTACTGACAACACGGCTCAACTCCAGTGCTCTTCAATGACCCCTGCCTTTCTCTTTTTTAAATTCTGTTTTAACCATCCAAAATCACGTTTTTGGATCATTAAAAGCAGCTAAGCTGAGAAGCTAAGCTACAAGCTAAGCTAACAGGCCGACCTTGGGAATAAACCTCCGTATTGTCAAAGCTCCATAATTCATGGTTGAAACCCGTGCCTTTGTCTTAAAAGTAGTTTTTCTCTGCAAAAAGAAGCTGAAAACTTGTTTACAGATTTTTTTTTTTTTAATTATAGCTTTGTGTGAAAAATGCTATGCTAAAGAGCTCAAACCACACCAAGGGTCCGCCATTTTGAGAACTGAAAAACAGGAACGAGATACGACCCATGTCACGTCAAGGGGCCTCCCTCCCATTTTTCTTAGACACCCTGCTTGCTCCCTCACTATCCATGATTTGGTTCAAACTGTCTTATACTGCCATCCAGTGGTCAAAAAAGGTACTACACTCAAAACTAATTAACCAACGTTTCTTCTTACATTTAACAATAATTACTAATTATTGTCAATTTTCAAACAAAATTATTGTTTATCGCAATAACTTCTGAGACAGTTAATCACATAGAAAATATAGTTATCGTGACAGGTCTAGTTGTAGCCAGTTTGTGTTCTCTAGAGTATGTTGGCTATGCCATTCATCTAAATCACCAAAACGTTAAATTGTCATCTGGACAGTTTCTTTTTGGAAGAAATGTTTCGGCTCTCAAACAAAAGACTTCATCAGTCTGAGGCCTGCCAACAGGCTCTGTTGTATTGAATAGCACCTTATTGATGTGGTTCAAACCAGTTTGCCGAGGAATTCCCAGAAATTTGCATTGCACATGCAAAATGGGAGGCCATCAGTATAAAACAAACGATCATCAGCGCATAACAATCACACTTTGTAGGCTAAATGGTCGCTTACTCCTCACCGAACCAGCCTGAGGAGAACCTGGCCAAAATGATAAAAAAAAAAAAAAAAGTGAGTAGGCTCAATCTTCGAGGTAAATAAATCACCAAAAAGTTAAATTGTGTCCTTTGGACAATTTCTTGTTAGAAGGAACATTTTGTCTTGTGTAAAGCCAGTTTCTTGGAATTTCACAGCAGACTGGTTTGATACACATCAATAATGTGCTATTTAATACGACACATCCTGTTGGCAGACATCAGACTGATGAAGTTTTTCAGAAGAAAGGTGAAACATTTCTTTCAAAAAGAAACTGTCCAGATGACACAATTTAACTTTTTGGTGATTTATTTACCTGGATAGCCAACTTACTCTTTTTCCATTCATCTAAATGTATTCAAATATAGAAGTCCATTCTCTATTGGAGTGTCATTAAACTTTGTCCAGTGGTTCATACATTATTTTGCTAACAGACATAATTGACTGAATGCTTGATGTCAAATATAAATAAAATAATTTAACCAGTTAGCAGTAAGTTGCGTTTGACTCTTAGCTACATCATACAAAGTTGTTGCATAATATTGCTTAGAATTGTCTACGTTAAATCCATAGTTTTGTGTTTGGTAATGCTGTATAGCTGTGGTGGCCATCTTGAAAAGAGTTGACTCCAAAAGTTAATCAGTTGTGGATTCAGTTTTACACAGATTGGTTCATGAGATATTTTGTTAAGACACAGACAGCAAACACAGGGATGGGCAAAAGCAACATTGTTTCTTGTCTACAGCAGCAGACAACAACAGTTGCAGTGTCAAAAATGTTAATAACTCAATCATAAGTATCATGATTGGGAGATGACAAACGGGTTGTTATAAATGGAATAAAAGCACACAAGTGCATCAAGTTAATAAATATAAAAGAGAGGAAGTTAGAAACAAAAATTCAGGAATGACCAAAATTGAAATGGAGAAACAGGATGAAGCAAAACCAGGTTTAGAAGAAGAAAAAAAAAAGTATTTTAGAAGTTATGGTTCTTAAAGAACTAGTTTTTTTCTTGATGCAGTTCTTAATAAATAAAACATGGAGTCAGAGAAAAATGTGATTACAAAGAGCAATAAATGCAAGCATGGAGCAGGGAAATCCAGAAGTCATTATGATGTGTCAGTATTTGTAATAGAACCGCTTAATCATAGTGGAAATGCATTTGTAATTCCTGCCTTACCACTCAATAAATTGGGAACATGGACGTAATCAAGACTTTTTTTTTTATTGAAGAGAAGGATAAAAACACTGCAACACTTTCCGTTATTACTCAGCATGAACAGCAAGCATTGATTCACCAATTAAATGGGAATAAAACCAAATGTTCTTCTTTTTAATCAATGAGGCCATATTTAATATGACTCAAAATAAAGTGCAATATTCAACAGTCTTAGAAGGGGAAAGAAAAAAAAAAACGTTCATGAAATCAGTTCAATGTTCCCCCTCCCATTTTTCTGCTTCGGGGTAGAATATTAGCTTTTTCAGTCCTCAGCCCTTCAGCATATTTATTAGTGAATAAGAAGCACAGTATGCCAACTTTTTTCATTTATATTTTTCTAACAAGGAATGAGACTTGCTTATACAAATTTCAGACAGTCAAGTGCAAATATAATGTGCCATAGGAGTGTCTGTGACTTCAAGAATTAAATATATATTTTAATGAGATTAAAAAATATACTACATAAATGTGAATCTTTGGCCATTGAACCAAATAAGTTTGAGAAAGGTTCAATTTGTCGTCTGTTCAACAGTTTCTTATGAGCACACAGAAAAAAAAGAATAAGTATAGATACTGTATATATACGTATGTATACATGATACGTACCGTACATGCATACATGGATGGATGGTTCGAAGTAACAAGCCAACGAAAAACAAAGACGTAAATGGAAGGAAAAACAAAAAATAAAAATTAATTTACTCTATTTAACAGCTGTAGCAGTAAAGTTTGGCTCTTTTCCCCAAAAAAATATTTACCCTTCAGTTCATCCTTCTTGTTTCCACGCGTCCATCCATTATTTTTTTATCCACTTCTTCCTTTTCGGGTCACAGGGGTCACTGGTGCCCATGTTCAACCATCGCTGTGCAAAAGGTGGGGGACACCCTGGACAGGTCAAGTCCATCACAGGGACACATGGAGACAAACAAGACAACTATTCACTCTCTCGCTCACACCTACGACTATTTAGAGTTACCCATCAGCCTAACATGCATGTTTTTGGTCTGTGGGAGGAAAGCTGAGTACCCGGGAAAAACCCATGCACACATGGAAAGAACATGCAAACTCCATCCAGAGAGGTCCTAGGCCAGGATTTGAACCGGCAACCTTCTCACTGGGAGGCAACAGCTCTACCAACTGCACCACTGTGCCCCTTCTTGTTTCCTTCTCTTTTAGTTCAGGGAATCTCTTTGTTGAAGGCTAACTTTTGTTGTTCGGTACAGTTTTTGGACAAACTCAAACCTGCTGATTGATTGGCAGCATCTTTACCTTTCTTTACCACAGTTTTGCTGCTTTCTGATCTGTACTCAAGTTTACATTTGGAAAACGAATTAGTTGAACACATTTTTTGGTCTGTGTTCTTTGATCCTATGATTTGATGGTTTGTTCAAAGGCCTGACTAAACACAGACCATCACACTTTTTGGGGAAATGATCCAGGCAGTAATATTGAAAAAAAAAAAAAAAAAATTAAAAATTGTTGAGTGCCTTATGTATTTATTTATATGTTTAGGGTTTTCTTTTGAAAAATGGCACATTTTCCATCATGCCTTGGAATGTGTGGATGAGATAAATTCCCATGTTGTTTATGATGAGCTTAACAAGATAAAGACCATTTCTCTGTCAAGCACACAGGAGATGATGTTTTTTGTTTAAAAACAAAAAAAGTATATTTTATGACAATGTCGTCAAACCTTTTTTTTCTTCTGTGTTTCTACAGGTTAACAGGTTTCCAGGCCCCTCCACCTGTCACCAGTACAGGGAATGTTTTCTCCCTGAGGTTAACCAGTGACTTTGCCGTTTCTGCTCACGGTTTCAAGCTCAACTATGAAGGTCAGAAAATGTCTGTTTTTGTAAAGATTAGGGGTGCACCGATTGCACTTTTTGTCTGATCACAACAATCACCGATCTCTAAAAAGTCTGACGTTCCGATTTTGGCCAATACCGATTTTGTTTTATAAGCGACACGGTCAGGTGTTATAAAGTCACAACGCACCTTCAATTTTCCAATCTTAATTTATTGAAAAACCCTTGAACAATATCCTAGAAACAAAACAAACTTGTTTAAACTGGCCATGAGGTAGTGCTCTGAAATATAAATGAAGTTTAGACAATCGTTGTTAAAACTACAAAAAATCTGTACAATCAGTTTCTCATGTAAGTATCGTCCGATCTTCGAAAAGAAAGCAGGGCCGATAAATCGTCCAGCCGATTTATCGGTGCACCCCTAGTAAAGATGCTTTGAATTGTGTAGAAAGATGAATTTCCAGCTTGTTATAGTTCAACAATAATCAAAATGAGAAACCAGTTAGTAAACATTACGTTTTATGCAGTAGTCTGGTTAAGAAAAACACAAAAAAATGATGTTATTCAAAATATGTTATCTACATTGCAGCTGTCGCTTCTATTTTTAATGATGTGTACACAGTAAATACTGAAGTAATATACTTTAAAACACTGAGTGACATTTTATGTTTTAATCTTGATGGTTTTCATTGTTGACATTTTTTATTCAATTATAAGAAGGGATTCAAACTTAAGCTGAAATGGGAAATGACGAATTATCCATATTAAATTTAATTTATCCAAACAGAAGTACCAGGTCCTGAACTCTCTCTACCATTTTTTTTTTTTTTTTAATTCAGCTCAGGGTACGACTTCCCTATGGCTCTCAATATGATCTCTGTTCAACCAAAGAGGCTAGAGTGAAAATCATAGATGGAGTGAATGTGAGAGCTGAAAGTGTAGACACTAAAGGTGAAACAATTGCTTTATATATATATATATATATATATATATATATATATATATATATATATAGAGGTTAGAGAGGTGGGCTTGTGATCCCAAGTTCGCCGGTTCACGCCCCGGCCCCGACAACATCAAAAAATTGTGGGTGGGGTAGGTGAAACACCCACACTTGCCTCCACCCTCATTCGCCCCACTCTGGGCCCATGAGCAAGGCCCTTAACCCCCACCATGTGCTCCCTAAACAGGTCTCTCTTGAAAATGAGTTCTCGTGGCTCAATGAGACTAACCTGGATAAATAAAGGCTAAATGAAAAAATATATACATATATACACATATATATATATATATATTATACATTCTTTTTTTTAAACTTATTTTACAATTTTTTGTGATAGTTAGCTGAAACAATACATTTTGTCTTTACTGCTCATTTGATGACATTTAATTATCAGTAAATGTAAAATGGCAGTAAACATTTTCAAGGGAAATATTACCGTTCTTTAAAAACAAACAAAAAAAAAATGTATAAAACACAAACAGCAATGGCCCAAATCAACCTTACATTATTATTTTTTTTTTTATGTTATTCCTTCAGGGTTTGAGTAAACACCACAGTGTAGTATTCACAGATGAAAGAAAACTGTAAAATAGTTGAAGCCCTGGTTAAAATTAGAACTTAGTTGGTCTTAACATAGATTTGGTGCTTTAAAGATTTTAGATTAGATTACAGTTGTAGATATATATATATATATATATATATAAATTAAAAATATAAAAAAAAAACAAAAAAAAAAAAACTTTGATGTCCTCAACTGGAAAATTAGTTCTGAGGACTTAAACCATCAAAGCATAAAAAAGCTTCACCAGAGGCACACACAGGAAATAACAGAAGTCAGGCACAATTAAACTGTTTATTCATGAAGCACATTGCTGGTATGTCAGCAGCTGACACTTGATTCAGGTCTGTATAGGCTTCGTTCACATTGCAGGCCAAAGTGGCTCAAATCTGATTTTGCTGTTGCCCAGACGTGCCACACACTGTCAATGACTTTTTTATGAATGTCTGAGAGTAAGAAATTATTTTGTTTTCCCATCTCACCAAAGTCTTTTTCATATGTGGTGTTAAATTAAAAATAAATAAATATCCATCCATGCATTATCTTTACTCCCTTCTTCTTTTCTGGGTTACGGGGGTCACTGGTGCCCATATCCACCAGTCACCGTGTGAGAGGAAGCAAACAACCTGTACAGGTCTCCAGTCCATCACAGTGACACATGGAGACAAACAACCATTCACTCTCTCACTCATCTGGGGACAGTTAGAGTTACCGATCAGCCTAATGTGCATGTTTTTGGTCTGTGGGAGGAAACTGGAGTACCAGAAGAAAACCCACGCATACACGGAGAGAACATGCAAACTCCACCCAGAAAGACCCTCCAGCCGGGTTTTCTTCCAGTGTCCTTCTTGCTGAGATGCATCTTTATCAACTGAGCCAATTTGCTGCCCACCCCCCAAAAAAAACATGAACTGAATATATCTATCTATCTATCTATCTATCTATCTATCTATCTATCTATCTATCTATCTATCTATCTATCTATCTATCTATCTATCTATCTATCTATCTATCTATCTATCTATCT